CTGAAGTCTATCAGAGCTTGTGTTACTAGCTTCTCTCTGGAAACCATGTCCTATGAGGAGTGACTTAGGAAGCTGAATATGTTTAGCCTGGAGAAGAGAAGATTTAAAAAAGGTGATGATCGCACTGTTTAAATATGTTGAGGATGGAGCAAGTTTGTTTTCTGCTGCTTCAGATAATAGGACATGAAACAGTGGATTCAAACTAGAGGAAAAAAGATTCCACCTCAACATTAGGAAGAATTTCCTGACAGTAAGACAGTTTGACAGTGGAACACATTCCCTCAGAGAGTGATGGAGTCTCCTTCTTTGGAGGTCTTTAAGCAGAGGCTGGATGGCCATTTATTGGGGGTGCTTTGATTGTAAGTTCCTACGTGGCAGAGGTGGACTAGGTGGCCCTTGTGGTCTCTTCCAACTCTGATTCTGTGAGTTAGGGGGAATGCAGACCGGCATTTTAGGCTGGCCTGGGGTTGGAGTTGGGGCGGGATACGCTTTTGGGGGGCAGCAAAAAGGAGGATTGGGGCCGTGGCATGTGGTTGCTGTAGCCCCGATCCGCTGCTCCTAGGGGCAGCACAGAGCTGCCCCTTACAGTCCGTCTGTATCGGCCCTTAGTCTCAAAGGTTTTACAAGATCCCCTTGCACACTGATTCCCCAGACTAACATGGCTATATCTTTGTGTTCTACCAACATTGAAAGCACCAAATTTAGCCTGATGGATTGCTCAGGTGCGGATAGACATAATTTTTCTCAACAAGTGCAAGCAATAAGATACTATTCCAAGAGGCCTATGAGTGAAGAACCCATTAGGGATTATAAGTCTGTCCCTGGACCCTCTATTTCCACTCCATGTATTTGAGTTTGTAGACCTAGCTTATGCTACAACTTCATTCCCACAGTTAGTCCCAAAGGTGTTACAAGATTCCTTTACATACTGATAGTCCAAACTAGCATGGCTATGGGCTTGAACAGACTGCCAGAAATAATCCAACATGAGACCGCTTTAACTGCCCTGGCTCAGTGCTAGGGAATCATGGGAACTGTAGTTTATTGTGGCACCTGGGCTCTCTGACAGAGAAGGCTCAATGTCTCAGAAAAAACTACAATTCCCATGATTCCCTAGCATTGAGCCAGGACAGTTAAAGCGGTCTCAAGCTGGATTATTTCTGGCAGTCTGTTCAGGCCCTATGTCTCTGAATTCTTCCCTCATGTAGTTCAGTCTACAATATATTTTACTTTTGTGGATGATGCAGATATTGTATAATGTTTTTATGTCTGTTGTATGCTTTGTGATTGTTGTACACTGCTTTGAAATTTTTAGATATGAGTGGTTTATAAATATCTATGGCTGCATGTACACTGCAGAAATAACCTTTGAAACAGCTTTAACTGCTATGGCTTCATGGTATGGAAGTCTGGGATTTGTAGTTTTGTGAGATATCTGTCAGAGCGCTGTGGTGCCACAACAAACTACAAACCCCTGGATTCCATAGTATGGACCCAAGGCAGTAGAAGTAGCATCAAACTCTACAAAATCTCTCTACATATTATTATTATTATTTAAGTCCAGGAAAGCTCATGTTGCCAACTTTTTTTTTTCAGTTAGGGCCTGAACAGACTGCCAGAAATAATCCAGCTTCAGATCACTTTAACTGTCCTGGCTCAATTATTGGGAATTATGGGAATTGTAGTTCTTCTGAGACATTGAGCCTTCTCTGTCAGGGAGCTCTGGTGCCACAATAAACTCCAGTTCCCAGGATTCCCTAGCACTGAGCCAGGGCAGTTAAAGTGGTCTCTTAGTCTCAAAGGGGCTACGAGATCTCTCTACATACTGATTCTACAGACTAACACGGGCTATATCTTTGAATTCTGGCTTAGTGCTATTAGGACATCCTGGGAACTGTAGTTTATTGTGGCACCAGAGCTCTCTCTGACATAGAAGCGCTAAACGCCTCACAAAACTCCAGTTCCCAGGATTCCCTCCCATTGAGCCAG